GGCATCTGTGGGTATACACTTCCTCCTCATGCCGGTCATTCCTCCTTCTGCGTTCTAAGTGCCACGCAGGGACTTCCCACGGAGGTCTTCCCTAGTGCGGTCATTGCAGGAACCCGTGAAGAACCCTAAACATGCCTGCTTTCCCGATGAGGACCTGGAGGCTCCCACACCACGGGCCGGAGGCAGAGGTGGGCCTCGGCTTCAGCTCCTGGGCACACTCGGCTAAGCGTGGCCTCCCTTCCTGAGGCGGGGTCGAGGCCCTCGCTTCTGACGGGTCTAAATGCCTATCACGGTGCCTGGCGCAGGTTCATGCTCTTGGCAGAGCAGCCAAAAGCAGATTCTGCGGGCCGGCCCATGCACCGTGGGCCGGTCACCCCGCCCTGGCCATCCGCTGCAGCGGCCTTAGACCTCTCCCTGGTGCTCAGGCTGCACACTCAACCCCTCCCCGCCGCATCCTGGCCCCGGCTTGTGTGTGCCGGGCTGTGTGTGCAGGCTGTGTGGCTCCATAGCGGGCATTTGTGCGCCCCGCCGGCCTCAGACCCAGCGGGTGGCTGGCCGCTGAGCCGTGGCGCCCGCGCCGTCCCGTGCGACTCTACACCGTGCGCCTCTACACCGTGCGCCACCCCGGGAGTCTGCTCGTGGGACTCTCCCAGACGTTGGCAAGTGTTTAAACACAGAACTGTCCCGGACGCAGTAAAAATGCAATCGGAGATCATTATGCCGGCTCTTTACTCCACCCCCCGGCTGCGCGCTGGGCCGGGAATGGGCGAAGGAGCCGTGAGTGGGCATCGGCCTGGTTGTCTCTGCGCTTAGCGCGCTAGCTCCGCGCTCCGGAGGGGCGGGCGCCGTGGAGCCGCCGCTCGCTGTGGAATTGACATGATGCAGTTGGGAGGCAGCGCCTGCTGTTCGGTGGGATGGGTGGGTGCTGGCCATAAAGACTCGTAACCTTTCCGAGGGAGGTTCATCTTAGGCACCAATAGCGGAGGTTTCCACTGGTGTCCCTGTTTGTGCCCGAACGGCACGTGCACTCACCGCCGCGTGGGATCTCTGTGCGGATGCGTGTCGCGTTGCATACACACGGCAAATGGAAAGTTAGAACAATATGTCATCCTCGAGTGCTTTGCTGATTAATACCTCGTGGTCTCGTTACTGAGAAATTCATGGGTAGCAAGCGCCCAGCACTCAAATCATGGGGCTGACAAGAAAGGAAGGATTTTGGGAAGACAGCCTGAACATTGGCATGCGGAGTGCAGATGCGTGGCAGCGCCCACCGGTCCTGAAAGGGGGGAGGCAGGGCTGGTTTCCACGAGGACCTGGTGCTTCTCAGAGATCCGAGGTTGGGAGATTGGCATCCTCCACCCCGCAAGGCTCACCTGGCCCCCAAGTCACAGCACCTCTCTTCCCAAATGTCCTCATGCCTTTTCAGTTGCCAACTTTGTTGGACTTGTCCTCCTAGAGGCTGACGTGGCTGCTATTCAGCACTTCCAAGGCACAAGGCCAAGCAAGGTTCAGGTCCCTGCTCCCCACTGTCTTGCTGTGTGACCTCAGGCAAGTCCCCTCCCCTCTCTGAGCTCCAGTTTCCTTCTCCGTCTAGTGAGTGGTGTGGACTGGAACCTCTGCCTGTCACTTTTGGTACTGACCTCATGACTGAGTCTCGGTGATCAGTGTGTCCCTGGTGGTGCCTCCCCCAGGGCCTGGCGCAGGGCTCATGCTCCATCACAGCCGGGGACAGCTGGCCAGGCTGTGTGTGTCGGGGGTGGGGAGCCTTTACACCAGGACAGCTTCAGGGATGAAGGCCAGTTTCTAGCTCGGCGGGATTTTGGGATAGGCTGACTGAATTTTGCGCTTCTGTTGGGCCGATGAGGGGAGGTGGGTTAGAAGGGGCATTTGGACCCATCCATCTATCTCCTCTCTGAGCCCCACGAAGCCAGCACAGCTGCCCAGACACCTGAGCTGCTGCCCAGTGTCCTGCCTGGGGGGCCCTTCAGACAGGCTGTCTTTCTACTGGTTTCCCCGCCTTGTGCCCAGCCTTGGTCCGTGGAGTGACAGTGCTTCCTTGTCTCCAGGGTTGACACCGCCTAATCTCTTTCACACCTACCTACAGAACACCCCTCTCCTGGGATTCAGGCACCTCTGGCACCTTGTCCGGCCAGGCGCTCCCCTGGGCACCGGGCAGCTCCCCTGCATGCCAGCCACTTCTCCGCTGCTGGGAAGGACAGTAGCAAGAAGGGGGAAAGGGACATCAGTCTCCTCTGTGTGCAGGCATTGGGCAGAAGAACTTGTATTCATCTCATTTTTTTTCACCCACGAAGTGCCTGGAAATCAGTCCATCTTTGAGGTCCCCTGAGCACGCCCCTCATTCACTGCCCAGATGCACGAGGGGAGGAGAAGCTAAGCAGGAAAGCCTGTGATGATACTTGCTGGGCGTTTTATCCATAGTCAGGTTGGTAAGAGCTGCAGGATGACATGAGCACCTGAAGGCTAATGCAGCCTTTGGCTGTAACAACAGAGGTAGCAGTCCTAGGACAGAGGAGGGGACTTCTCCACCCCACTCTGTGATAGTCAGGCCATACCAGATCCTTAGTTCCAGCTCCTCTACCCCCACCTGCAAGAGAGCAGGTCCAATTGGAGAAGATTCAGAGATGGACAGTCAGGGTTATGGGTGAGGGAGGAGGGTCTGAAACACATGTCCTCCAGGACAGTTGGAAGAAAAGTATGGAGGAAAAGCAGGGCTCCAGGGAGACAGAGGTCGGTTGGTAGTAAGAGCTATCTCAAGATGGATCGATGATTTATAAATGTACCCATCTCTTTCTCCATCCACTCATCCATCCATAATCCATACATCTCTGTTCATTCATTTCTCCTTCCATCTATCTATCATCTATCTATCTATTTATCTATCTATCTATCTATCTATCCATCCAGTCATCTGTCCACCCATCCATCCATCCTCCATCCCTCCATCCATCCTTGCATCCATCCCTCCATCCATCCCTGCATCCATTCCTGCATCCATCCATCCATCCACTCATCTGTCTACTTGTCCATCCATCCATCCCTGCATCCATGCATCCATTCATCCATCCATCCATCCTTGCAACCATGCATCTATCCATCCATTCTCCATTCATCCACCCATCCATCCTTGCAACCATGCATCTATCCATCCATTCTCCATTTATCCACCCATCCACATATCATCCATCCATCCATCCATCCATCCCTGCATCCATCCATCTCCATTTATCCCTGCATTCATCCATCCATCTATTCATCTATTCTCCATTTATCTACCCATTCACCTGTCATCCATCCATCCATTCATCCATCCATACATCCATCCATTCATCATCAATTCATCATCCGTTCATCCCCCATCTATCTACCCACTGGTGGTTTGGGGCGCCACTTCAGGGTGAGTTTAATGAGGCCAAGTCACAAAGATTTTCAAACGTCCATTGCCCTGTGTGGTTTGACTTGTGCAACCTCAGGCAACCTCTCTGAGCGCCGGTTTTCCCAGATCTAAAGTGGGGCAGTAATACTGAGTTGTTTGTGAAAGTCCTACACAGCTGTTGAGTTGCCAAGGACAGGTGGACATTGAGACAGACATGTTGTGGCTCAGAAGTGCAAGGTGGTGGCCAGTGTCTATGCTCACCAACAGACACATCCCCTGTCTCCAAGCCGTATGGCACCCACCTTTCTGAGAGAGCCTGGCAATATGGAGGGTGTTCCGTGAATGTGCTGTGGCTCATGCCCCCGCCTGGCTTTACGTACAGGAGCCTTGTCCCCATCCACCCTTCGCTGGGAGGGAAGAACCTCAGTTACCCTGCTCTGCCGAGGTGGGAGGAACAGGGGACAGCTGACAGCTTCTTGCTCACTCCGCCATCCCCAGGAGACGGGAGCTGTGGAAATAAATGAAACTGTACAGTTGGAGTAATTTGCTAATTTGCTTAAGTAACGCCCCCAGTCCGAGACATGACATACATACATTAGTGCCGCTCCGGCTCCCCCAGCCTGGGCGGTGCTCAGAGTGGGCTGGGCGGGTGCACCAAAGCCCAAAGCAGAGCCCAAAGGCAGTCAGCAGTGTGGGGAGGGGCTCCAGGAAGGGTCTGGTGGCCCTGGAGTCTGACCTGCTGACCCGCCTGTGTGGGGCCACCTGCTGTGGGGTCGGGGCAGGTTGCTGACTGCAGAGCCTACTTCCCCCGCTGCAAGGTGGAGAGAACAGAGCCTGCCACGGGACGGTGCTGTGGGGACGGGAGGGCCCAGCCTGTCAACCAGGGCGTCTGGCCCAAGAGTGGGCTTCAGGAAATGGCAGTCCCCTCTCTGTCCTCTGTGACCTTCCCCCGGCTGCTCAGGCCAGGCAGATGTCCTCTCCTCCCGTCGGCAGTCTGAGCGTCCCCATAAATGGCTCCTCTGCACCATGACACCCTGGGGTGCTGTCGGGGGCCTCCTTGCCCGACCTGCTGGGGATGGGGATGGGTGAAGCTTCCCCCAGCTGCTGCAGCTGTCTTGCTCAGGGAACAAGCAGCCCACTCAGCACCCCCGGGCCAGGACCAGGCCCAGTGGCACGAGGGAGCAGAAGGGGCTTGGAGAGCTGATTTCTACCACCTGCTTGGAAACCTCAAGGGACAGTGGCCAGGTCTGTTCCCGTCCTGTCTCCAGGGACCGCAGCACCTGCAGGGCACTGCCTTGCAATGAGTGAAGTGGGCTGGGTGTGGGTATCAGGGACAGGTGGGACGGGGCCGACTGATGCCTGCATCCTGTCTGCGGGAGACTCCGATTCTCGGCATGCGACTGGGCTGGGGTCGTCAGGCTTTAAAATTGATTGATTGATTTTTAGAAAACAGAAAGAATGACATTTTATTGGGAATCTCTTGCATTTTTTTAAATGCTGGCAACAAGTTCAAATTTAACAAAACTAAAACGTTTGCCAAACAAAATCTGTCCGTGGACAGGCCGGCAGCGGGGCGCTGTGAGTCTGACTGTGTCCGCCCCTGCAGGCAGCCTGCCCTACGAGTACAAGATTGTGATTGCCGGCAACCACGAGCTGACCTTTGATCAGGAGTTTATGGCTGACCTCATCAAGCAGGACTTTTACTACTTCCCGTCCGTGTCGAAGCTGAAGCCGGAGAACTACGAGAATGTGCAGTCGCTGCTGACCAACTGCATCTACCTGCAGGACTCGGAGGTCACCGTGCGGGGCTTCCGGATCTATGGCTCCCCGTGGTGAGTGCACCGGCGCCAGTGCCAGCCCGACGCTGGCGGAAGTGGGGCCATGCTGGGGATGGAAGGGGTGGGGCTGAGTGTGCAGAGGGAAGTGGGGCTGACGTGCAGCAGTTGTTTAAATCACATGTGCACCTTGAATCCTTATTGTCTGTTGGGGACACAGAGTGATCAGGCCTCATCTCTGAGCTCACATGGCTGGGTGGGGACCAAGGTGAGAAAAGATCACGACTGTCCTGTGTGATGGTCAGTGTGTCCGTGGGAGCCCAGGTGATGATGTGGTGATGGTGATGATGGCAATGATAATGGTAAGGGTGACGGTGATGGTGTTGATGATGGTAGTGGTGATGGTGACAATTGTCATGGTGATGGTGGTGGTGATAATGGTGATGATTGTCATGGTGATGATGGTGATGATAATGGTAATGATTGTCATGGTGATGGTGGTGATGGTTGTTATGGTGATGGTGGTGATGGTGATGACTGTCATGGTGATGGTGATGGTGGTGATTGTCATGGTGATGATGGTGATGATAATGGTAATGATTGTCATGGTGATGGTGGTGATGGTGATGAAGATGATGGTGGTGATGGTGATGATGATGATAGTGGTGATGACTGTCATGGTGATGGTGATGGTGCTGATTGTCATGGTGATGGTGGTGATGGTGGTGATGATGATAGTGATGGTGGTGGTGATGATGTTGGTGATGATGATGATAGTGGTGATGACTGTCATGGTGATGGTGATGGTGCTGACTGTCATGGTGACGGTGGTGATGGTGATGAAGATGATGGTGATGATGGTGATGATGATAGTGATAGTGATGATGATGATAGTGGTGATGATTGTCATGGTGATGATGGTGGTGGTGGTGATAGTGGTGGTGTGCTGATGATGGTGATGGTGGTGGTGATGATGTTGGTGATGATGATAGTGATGATGGTGATGGTGATGATGATGGTGTTGATGATGATGGTAGTAGTGATGATGATGATGGTTATGGTGAGGATGTTGATGATAATGGTAATTGTCATGGTGATGATGGTGATGGTGATTAAGATGATGGTGATGGTGGCAGCAAATCATTCCTGAACAATCACTATAAGCCAGGCCCTGGGAAAACGTCTTCATAAGCATTGTCTCTAACCCTTACTCAGCCCTGTGAGGACTGATTTCCTTTCCCCATTCCAAGGTAGACAGACTGGCCCCTAGAGGCCTAGCTGGCATTAGCCACAGGGCACCAAGTGCTGGAAGGTGAAGAGGGTACCACACACAGCAGGGACAGACCACCTGTGCTTGAAAGTGTGTCTTGATCCCAGGGGGCTCCCTGGAGGGGTGACCTGAGCCATGAAGGAAGAGAAGGGGTACAGGGGTGGGGAACAGGGCCTAGGACTGCACCATCAGCTACAGCACGTGGAGGCTGAGGGGTGATTTGGGGGGACTTGGGGTCTATGTGGGTGCAGGGCCTTCAGGGAGAGCTGCTGCCATCACAGTGTGTCTGGGGAACCCCTGTGCTGCCCTGGACAATGCCAGTGCTGACCACCTGAGGCTGCGGGCATTTAAGGACCTGGTGCCATCCTGTCAGGGCCTCCTCATGGAGCAGAGGGGAGAGGCTGGCCTGTCCCACCTGTGCTGAGCCCCAGGAGGTGCCCGCTGTGACCTCCCGGGTGCGCACCGCACACGGGGGCTCTGTGCACCCTCCTGCGGCCTGTGAGGTCCCGGTGAGCACTGGCGAGGCCCTCGAGGCTGTGGGGAGCTCAGCGCCAAGGGCGGGAGAGGACAGGAGGCGGGCGAGTGTGCCCGCAGCCAGGAGTCGGGCCCGGAGGAGAGGGCTGGTTAGGCAAACACAGGAAGACCTTCTAGGAGGGGAGCCCGCAGGGGCAGCAGCCTGGAGGTCAGCGGAGCGTGAGGGAAGGTCCGCGGTATGCGGTGCAAGTGAGGACGTGGCGAGGCGGGAGAGGGTCCGAAGGCCCTCAGGGGCCGGACCAGGGAATCGGGCCTGGATCTCTCACCCAGTAGTTTTCAAAGCCAGTCTCCCCGATACACCCTCACGTACCCATCCCCCCTTCTATTTATTTATTTATGTATTTATTTTTGGTTAATCCTCAACTGAGGATATTTTTCCATTGATTTTTAGATAGAGTGGAAGGGAGGGAGAGGGGGAGAGAGAGAGAGAGAAGCATCGACGTGAGAGAGACACATCGATTGGCGGCCTCCCACATGACCCAAACCAGGGGTGGGGATTGAATCTGCCACCCAGGTGTGTGCCTTGATCTGGAATAGAACACATAACCCTTTGGGCCATGGGTTGATGCTCTAACCACTGAGCATCACTGGTCAGGGCCACCCCCCACCCCCCTTTTTAAAATGTGATATTCTGTAGAGGTTAAGAGCATGGTTTTGGAACCAAACTTCTTGGGCTCAAATCTTGGCCTCACCTCTTAGGGGCTGTGTGACCCTGGGTGAGTCACTTAACCTCTCTGTGCCTTGGTTTCCTCTCCTGCAAAATGGGAGTGACAGCGCCCTCTGCAGAGGGTGGCTGCAAAGGTGTCGGAGCCAGATCCTTGATTCAGTGAGAGCTGTGGAGTAGGAGCCATGACAGCTGGGTGACAGCAGCCGCAGAGGACCAGGGAGGAGGCGCCAGGCAGAGGGAACAGCCCAGGTAAAGACCAGGAGGCCTGAGGGTTGTGGGCACTCTGGTAGTGAGTGTGGCTTCCAGGGCCTGAGTAGGAGTCAGTGGGAGCCAGGAGGCCGGAGGCTGGGCTGCCAGGTCACGCTGGTTGTGGCGGTGGCCCAGGCTGTCACCTTGGGCGCCCATCTCTCAGTAGGTCACAGCGCCCTCTGCCTGTAGCTCTGTGCCATCAACCCATGGGAACCCAGCGCGTCAGGCCTGAGGTCTGGAAGGGACAGAGTGCTCTTAGGTGCAGGGCTGACTCTCAGTCAGATGCTGGGGCCCAGACACACCAGGGGTGTCCCACCGCTCTGCCTCTCCCTCTGTGTCAGACCTTTGCAGGCCTCGGTCCCTGTTCAAGGGGACACCATACAGCGGAGTCCTCTCTCTGGTGACCCAGGGAACCTGCTGGCCTGGCTGCTGATTCTGCCTGGTGCAGGGGCCTGTGCAACGCCCCCCACCCCACTGTCTGTCGAGGTTCAGGCTGGGTGTGCTCAGCCCCAGCACGGCCACCTGCGCATACGGCAGGTCATTAGGAGGGTACAGAGAGCAAGGTTGGTTGTGATTAGTAAATTCAGATGTTCAATGCTCCCCCCACCCCGCCCCTTCGGCCCTTAATATATTGACTAACGTGAAACACAGGAGACGTCTCTCTGGCTTTGGAAGCATACTCACCCCAGCAGGTGGGGAATAGCGGTCAAACGAATCACTAGCCGGGAGTGACCTCAGCTCAGTGGCTTCCTGGACATGTGGGCAAGGCTGACCCAGGCCAAGGGGCAGACCTGCTTTTGGTGGCCTAGAAGGCAGGGCAGGGATACAGAGGCAGTGACAAGATATAGGTTCTTAGCAGTGTGGGAAGACTATTCCACAGGTAGGAACCTGGAGAAGAGGCCATGTGGCCTTGTGAGTGGTGAGCTGCCCATCACAAGGGGCATACAAGCGGAGATCCACTGTGATTGGGCCCGGTGCCCTCCTAGGCTCTCCCCCTTTGAGGGCCGCAGTTCCTCTGCCTGTGGCTGTGATCCCTGTAGGCAGAGGGAAGCAGGGTCACTCTGCTGGGGTTCGACCTGGTGCTTGCCCTAGGAGGGCAGCACTGTGACCAGGCTGGACTCGATATTGAGGGTGCACCAAAGCAGGCTGGGAGGGGAGCCACGAGCAAGTTCACGGCTGTCACCCCTGGCTTTTCTTCTGTGACCACCCAGAGATGCTCTGCTGGGGAGACGGGGGTCAGATTTGAATGACTTTTGGTAGGCCCCACACTCTGAGGCCCACAGTGGCCACTGTGGACCCAGTCCCTTGGAGGACTCTGGGCACCCAGAAGTGAGGCCCGTCTCTGCCATCTGGGGGCTCAGGATGAAGCTCAGGTGTCCTGCCTCCCTGTGGCCAGCGGCTGTCTCTTCTGGCCCACTCTCCCCGAGGCCTTCCTGGGGCCCAGCTTGACAGAGGGCGGGTCGCAGCTTCTCCCCTTCCCATTGCGCCTGACCCCGTGCTTACCGGCCGAGCTTGCTGGCCTGTTCTCATTCCGTCCTGTCCGTGCCTCCCGTGACCGGCACCATTCCCAACCCCGTCCTGCAGGAGTGGGAGTGGGGGAGGCAGAGAGAATACTTTTTTTTTTTTTTTGCATTTATCTTCGGATAGAGGGGGAGGGAGAGAGGGAGGAAGAGAGAGAGAGAAACATCGATGTGAGAGAGACACATCGACTGGCCGCCACCCGCACAACCCTAACCGGGGCCGGGGGCAAACTGCAACCGAGGTACGTGCCCTTAGCGGGAACCGAACCCAGGACTCTCCGGTCCGTGGGCTGACGCTCTAACCGCTGAGCCAAACCGGCCAGGGCGAGAGAGAATACTTTTATAGGAGTATGTCTGTGCAGTCTGTTTATCTGAAGTCCAAGTGCAGCGGGGCATGCCGTATTTCATCTGGCCACCCTAATCCAGAGAGTTTCCTTCTGCCAGTTTTTTGAACTTTCTGAACACAGATGCATATAGGATGTGTTGTATTGTGTCTGCTTTTTATGCTCAATATCATAGTTTTAAGATTCTCCCGTGTGGTCGCCATCGGTTCTTTCTCCCCGCTGCGTAGGGTTTCATGGCGTGACTCTACCACCGCCCGTTCACCCCTTCTGCCCAGGTCCAGGCACCCTTGCTCCGGGCTGCTGCACACACTCACGCCCTGGGCCCCGCGTGGCCGGGTGGCCGGCGGTGCAGCTCTCCGGAGGACATGCTGGGCTGGCTTTCGGCGTGGGCGTGCCAGTGTTCCAGTGACACCTCACGTCCTCCTGCGGGACCGGCAGCTGTGTCCACCCTGGGGGGCAGTGTGGCTTCGACT